GGGGGTTATTGGGGACTCTTGGGTGGGCTGGGGGTATTGGGGACTGCGGGGTTATTGGGCACTGGGGGGTGTCTGGAGGGTTATTGGGGACTGGGGGTGTCTGGTGGGCTGGGGGGTTATTGGGCACTGGGGGGTTTCTGGGGACTGGGGGTGTCTGGGGTGGGCTGGGGGGTTATTGGGCACTGGGAGTGTCTGGGGTGGGCACTGGGGGGTTATTGGGGACTGGGGGTGTTGGGTGGGCTGGGGGGTTATTGGGCACTGGGGGGTTTCTGGGGACTGGGGGTGTCTGGGGTGGGCTGGGGGGTTATTGGGCACTGGGGGGTTTCTGGGGACGGGTGGGCTGGGGGGTTATTGGGCACTGGGGGGTTGGGGTGGGGAGGTGGAAGCAGTAGGGAGGCTGGGGGGGACGGGGCAGAGCAGCACGGGGGGAAGAGGGGGTAATAGGGGGAGGGGGAGGGACTCAGGATGGGGGGACGGTTGCGGGGGGGGGGAATGACATTTCTAAGGCGGCAGCTGCGCCCTGGGTGGAATGTGCAGGGTGGGGGGACGGACTCGGGGATCAGGTGCGGGGGTGAGGGGCTCCCGGGGATGAGGTCCCCAAGCGCCCCCCAGCTGCAGGCTGCACTGTGCTGGGGGGGGATTTGGGAGGCCCAGGTTGGGTACCTAGCCCCCCACCCCTTCCCCACCGGTACATGCTGAGCGGGACAAGACCTCCCACCCCCCCGTGCCCCCATGATGACTGAGCAGTTCCACCATAATCCCCAGAAGCCGAGAAATCCCTTCCCCCACCCCTGGCTGGGCTGACAGGGGCTGCAGGTCGGGAGTGAGGGGCACCGGCAGAGCTGGGTGGGGGGAAGGGCTGGGCTAGCAGGGGCTGCGGGTCGGGAGTGAGGGGCACCGGCAGAGCTGGGGGGGGGCAGAGCCGGGCTAGCAGGGGGCTGCGGGTCGGGAGTGAGGGCCCCCTCAGAGCTGGGTCAGGGGGGACCTAAGGCTGGCCTAGCAGGGGCTGCAGTCGGGGTTGAGGTCCGATCATCTGTCATTTCTCCAGGCTCGGTCTCCCCTCCTCAGATGCCACCTGATACCCCCCCCCAGTCTCAGCCTTGGCCCAGGAGCCCCCACCCCCAGGCCTGGGCTGTTTCCCCCCCCACACACACACACACACAGGCACTCACATTCCTGTGCTGTCCTCACCCCACTGGCTCCTTTGTGCCCCAGCCACTCAGGGCCTGTCCCCCCCCCCCCCCCCGGCCTGCAGCTGCAGTTGTGGGTTCCTGGGGGAGCAGCCCAGGGGTCCCCCCCACTGGTGCTCCCCGCACCCAGGGGAGCTTCGCACAAGGGGGCTGCCGCTTTGCCATGGAGCTTGACGCCGGCTGCTCCGTGCACAAGCCCCTAGCTGGGCACGGGGAGCCCCCGGCCCTGGGGTTTCAAGCCTCAGGCAGGTCCCAGCTCGTCCTTCCAGGGGCAGGAGGGTTCTACTGACCCCACAGCCAGGCGGCATCCTGGCACCAGGAGGGTTAACTCTCCCCCATCAGGGGGACCCAAAAATAGCTCCCTGCCCTTCAGAGGGGACACATGAGCCAGTGGGGGAGGGGCAGGAGGGGATCTGGTGTCTGGAGAAAGGTCAGAGCTGAAAGCAGAAATGGGGGGGTAGAGGTGGGGGAGTGGCGTGCGTGGCAGGGAGGGGGGGACCCAGTGATCCACCCCCTCACAGCCTCCTGTGTAACCCCCAGACCGGGTGGGGGTGCAGAATACCCCACACCCCAGCTGGGGCAGAGATTTTGAGTGGGGATTTGGGGGAGTGGCTGGGGGTGACCAAGGGAGGGAGTTGGGTGCATTGGGAATAGGGATTTAGGGGGGATTTGGGGGAGTGGCTGGGGGTGACCATGGGAGGGAGGGAGTTGGGGGCACTGGGAGTAGGGATTTAGGCAGGGGGCTGGTTCCAGCCGCTGCAGGGACTGTGCTTTGGCTTCCACACCCACAAATCTGCCTCAGTCCCCCCGCCCCCTTTAGCCT